GGAGGCATGCGGACCCTGCCACTGGGGCCTTCGGTGGAGCTCCCTATGGGGCCACGAAACGTGTGAGGGGTGTGCCGAAATGGGTGGTGGGGAGGCATGCGGACCCTGCCACTGGGGCCTTCGGTAGAGCTGAGCTCCCTATCGGGCCACGAAACGTGTGCGGGGTGTGCCGAAATCGGTGGTCATGATGATGATGATGCTGATGATGATGATGATGATGATGATGATGCTGATGATGATGATGATGATGATGATGATGATGAGGATGAGGATGATGATGATGATGATGATGATGATGATGATGATGATGATGATGATGATGATGCTGATGCTGATGATGATGATGCTGATGCTGATGATGCTGATGATGATGATGATGATTATGATGATGCTGATGATGATGATGATGATGATGATGATGATGATGATGATGATGCTGATGATGATGATGGTGATGATGATGATGATGCTGATGATGATGATGATGATGATGATGATGATGATGATGATGATGATGATGATGATGATATGATGATGATGATGACGATGATGGGAGGAGGGAGGGGGGAGGAGGAGGAGAAGAAGAGGAACGCGGGGCACTCTCTCTTCAAAACGAGGACCCAACACCACAGGATGGTTAGGAACAACGAGTGTACGCGGCGCTGAGGCGACAGCCACATTTTGAAATCGGATCGCCCTCCATCCGCGAAGCTCTTGCACATCTCAATCAAGTTTCAGGATCAGAAATGGCGAGGAAGTTTCATGCGAAACGCCCGTCCCGCCCTTTCGACCCGTCTCAGGGTGCGACAGGGAGGAGTTTTTGATAAGAACAAGGAATGGAAGAGGAGGAAGAGGAGGAGGAGGAGGACGAGGAGGAGGAGGAAGACGAGGAGGAGGAGGAGGAGCAGGAGGAGGAGGAGCAGGAGGAGGAGGGGAGGAGGGGAGGAGGAGGACGAGGAGGAGGAGGGGAGGAGAGGAGGAGGAGGAGGAGGAGGAGGAGGAGGAGGAGGAGGAGGAGGAGGAGGGAGGGAGGAGGAGAAGGAGGGAGGAGGAGGAGGGAGAGGAGGAGGAGGAGGAGGAGGAGGAGGAGAGAGGAGGAGGAGGAGGAGGAGGAGAGGAGGAGGAGGAGAGGGAGGAGGAGGAGGAGGAGCGGAGGAGCAGGAGGAGAGGAGGAATGGAGGAAGTGGAGGAGGAGGAGGAGTCGATGAGGAGGAGGAGGAGGAGGAGGAGGGAGGAGGAGGAGGAGGAGGAAGAGGAGGAGGAGGAGGAGGAGGAGGAGGAGGAGGAGCAGAGGAGGAAGTGGAGGAAGTGGAGGATGATGATGGTGAGGAGGAGCAGGAGCAGGAGCAGGAGGAGGACGAGGAGGAGGAGGAGGAGGAGGAGGAGGAGGAGGAGGAGGAAATAGAAATGGAAGCGGAGGAGGAATGGCGGGAGGCCGTAAAGGCGAGAACGGCCGAATCCGCACCCCAGGAAAACGTATGATTTTGCCTCTTGGGCCTGGGGCTGTCTTTGAAGTGCTCTTGGAGGCTATTGTAGCATCTTGGAGGCTTTTTGGGCCGTCTGGAGGCCATCTTTGGCGTTGGGCGCTTTGGGCCCGCTTGGGTTATGTCGGGAGCCTCTTGCCGCACTCTTGGCCCGTCTTGGGGTTCTTTTCGGCCCAGAGACCGCCAGGGGAGTATGGTATTCTGACCCAGGATCCCTCCTCCCCCCCCCGCCTGGACCTCCCCCCTCCCGGTGGGAGAAAGGGAATTGGCTTCCCTTCAAGCTAACGACGATGTTGCTCAAGTTCGGTTTTGGTTTCGCTGTGGCTGGCGCGCTGGAAGAGGAGGAGGAGGAGGAGGAGGAGGAGGAGGAGGAGGAGGAGGAGGAGGAGGAGGAGGGGATTCCACGGCGCCTCAGGTCTCCTGCCCTCCTCCTCCCCGTGCTGCCCCTGCTGCTGCAGTGCAGGGTTGCCTGTTGCCTCTGCTGTCGCCAGTGCTCCTCCCGTCTTTCCCAACGCCCCTGTGTGGTCCCCAACCAGCCTGTGTTGCATGGTCCGCGTTTTCTCTCCGCAGCGCCGCACCCCGCCTCCTTATCGCCCTCCCTCCTCCCCTTCCTGCCGTCGCCCGCTTCTGCACACACACCCCGCACGGGTCGTGCCCAAATGGAGCTTCACCTACGGTCCTAGCGGGCAAGTTTGTATGCCCTCCCGAGCTCATGTCGCGCACTGCTCACGCAGATCTTGCCCCACAGGGAGTTCCACCACCAGCCCCAGCGGGCAGGTTAGAATTCGAGTCTGCGTCTCATGCGTCACACCCCTCACACGCACAACACGGACCGTGCCTCACAGGGAGCCTGGGTCCATTTGTTGCACCAGTGGAGGCGTTAGCATGCGGGTCCGCGCTCATGCTGGCACACTCCTCACACGGTTCGTGAGGAGCTTCTTCTCGTATGGGGGCCCGCACTTATGCCTGCACACTCCTCCCGCGGATCGTGCCCCCATAATTAGTCAGTTCCATCCGCTGCCTCAATGGGCAAGTTTGAATGTGGGCCCTTGCTCATGCCGTCACGCTCCTCACGTGGATCGTGCCCCTATCGGGAGCTCCACCCACGGCCCTCAGGGCGCGTTCGCATGCGGGCCCGCGCCCAATTCGGCACGCTCCTCACCTGGATCGTGCTCCAAGGGGATCTCCACCTACAGCATCAGTGGGTGTTTTCGAGTGCGGTCCCCAGCCCAGGCGGCACACCTCTCACAAGGATCGTGCTTCATAGGGAGCTCAACGCGCCTCTGTGCGCTTGCTCGGCAGCATCCTGTCCGCAATGTCACGAACTTTGATCCTCCCGGGGGGCGCAGTGTGTGTGTGTGTGTGTGTGTGTGAGAGACGACCACGACCTGCGCTATACGCAGCATCACAGTGCTAGGCCCTTGGCCATGCCCATCTTGGATTCAGTGCTTCTGGGCGGGCCAACTGGAGCTGGAATAGCGCAGTCCACCGTCAAGATACGTCCGCCTCCACCGCCGCGGAGTCGTGCCCTGGGACCCCGATGAGTGGTAGACCTGGATGTTCTCCTGCCATGCGGGCGTGCACGCATCCATATCCACCACTTCCCTGTGTGCCCCGCCACGCGCCCTCGCGCGCTTGGACCCCGTGTCCTCCTTGTTTTCCGCTCCATCGCATATTGTGGAGGTCTCACTGCCTTCATCGCTCACTCTGTGACGTCATGTGCAGTCGCTTCCCTGTTTCCAGGTCTGACCTTCCTTCTGGACTGTCCTTCGCATGGCTTGCATACGCAGACTCCTAGTGTTAAGGCTTCCTGGTATCCCAGCGCTTGCCGCCTACGTCCACGGCCGCCAACGACGTCCTCTTGCTGCCCCTGCAGGCCTGTGCTCTGGCACTCACGCACGAGAACTTCAGGCTCTGAGCGTGTTCCGTCGCCCGCGGCTCCTTCGCCCCCTCTCGCGTTTCCCTTTCGTGTTAGTGCCCAATTCGGCCCCGCGGTGCCCCTCGGTAGCCTCGACCGCGGCTTGGCGCCGAGCCGCTGCGTCAACAACAATGTGGCCCGCCACGACGCGACCCCAACACTGGATGTGGATGTATCCAGCTGCCCACGGCAAGTCCCGCCACCGTGCCTGGGTTGTGGGTCATATGCCTAGTGGGTGCTCGTCGGAATCTCGTGGGATGCCCCTCGAGGGCCTCCTGGAGGCAGCCTTGAGGCCTCTTGGGGGCCGCTTTGGGGCCTCCTTGGCCTGCCACGACGCGACCCCAACACTGTGGATGTGGATCTATCTTGGCGGTGGACGCGGGCTGGTACAGGGATGCTTGGCCGCGACGGCCGCGCACGGGGCGAGCCACACGCCTTCTCACGGGCACCCCTGCGCGGCCTGCTCGTGTGCCGGTGCCCACAGTGAGGCCCCGATTTCAGCCGTACGTATCCTCGCCGTCAGCGTGATGACCGTTGTCATAGCCGCATTTCTCATCACCATCATCATCGCCATCATCATCACCATCACCATCTACATCAGCATCCGCATCATCGTCAGCATCAGAAGCAGCCTCATCGTTGTCAGCACCAGTGCCATCACCATCGCGATCACCATCGCCATCATGATCACCATCATGATCATATAATCACCACCATCAGTATGATACGCATGATGATGATACTGATGATGTTGATGGTGATGCAGATGAATCTGACAATGATGATGGTCAACGTCATCGTCACCATCATCATCACATCACCAGCATCATCATCACTATCATCATCATCATCATCAACAACATCGCATCAACATCATCACCACCGACATCACCAGCATCATCACCAGCACCATTATCACCATTATCACCATCACCAGCACCACCGTCATCATCATCACCAGCATCATTATCACCACCATCCTCATCAATACCATAATTAACATCACCAGCATCATCAGCATCATCGTCATTATCATCAACACCAACACGACTGCATCACTACCATCATCATCATCATCATCATCATCATCATCATCACCATCATCACCATCATCACCATTACCATGACCATCACCCTCGTCCCCATCATCATCATCATCATCATCATCATCATCATCATCATCATCATCATCATCATCATCATCATCATCATCATCATCATCATCGTCATAGCCCCTTTGGCCCTAGCACGTGCTGGGTTGGAGGTTGGCCAGCGCCTGCTCGCGCCCTCCCGCTGTTCTCGCCCCAAGACGTGGCGCCTGGTGGTCCTCTCCCGCATTGCGTTCCTGCGGGAGCAGCTCGTCTCGGGGTACAAGTTGGTGGTCGCGTCGGCTACGCACGACCAGACAGGTGTGCAGAAAGTGAGTGTATTGGTATATCCCTATACTCGTGTGGCTGCTGCTGCGCAGCCGTTCGCTTTCTACACTTTGGACTGGCTGGACATGGTGGCGGCGACCGTGCGTGTTGCCGATCGTGGGCATAGGCATTCGGGCGGACACTCAAGAGTCGACTTCCTGATTCCGGATATGGTCCCGCCACATGCTGCCCCTCAACCTGGCGATCCTGGTGGAGGTGGTGATGGTGGGGACGTTGACGACGATGGGCACCATGGTCAGGATCCTGGGCCTCGCTCTGGTGGACGTCGACGAAGTTTCGCTGGTGGTGCTGCTGGCGGCGCTGCTGACCCATGTGATGGAGGCAACGACCCGTGGTCGGCGGGCTAAGGTTTCCCGCAGTCGAAGATGCCACAACGCCATGGCCTACTTCCGACTGTGCCCGCTTTACCCGCTTTCCCGGACAACGCGGAGTCCGAGGAATTCGTGCTGCAGCCGTCCCATATTGACATGGAACAGGCTGTGTTGGATGCCATCCGCCCTCGACGTGGGCGCGTGGTTGGCCCACCTGATGCTGCTGCTTTTGGATCGCTCTCTGTATTGGATACCCTCGTGCTTCCCAAGGCTGGGGTTCAAGATGTTCTTGAGCTTCCAGATGGTGGTGTACTTCCAGATGGTCGTGAGCTTCCAGATGGTCGTGAGCTTCCAGATGTGCTTCTTGGTGGGCTTCCTGACGAGCGTGAGCTCCCAGGCGGTGGTGGGCGTCCTGATGGTCATGAACTTCCTGGAGACGCGGCTCTTCCTGATGCTGCGCTTCGTCAGGGTCGTGTGGCCCTTTCTGAGCTAGCTGTGGTTCCCCCTGAAGCTGAGCGTGTTCCTGGTGATGTGCGTTCTCTGGGTGATGCTGCCCCTCTTGCTGACCGTGCTGCTGACGTACCTTGTCCTGCTGACGCCCTTCGTGTGGAGCTTCCAGATGGTCGTGAGCTTCCGGGTGGTCGTGAGCTTCCAGATGGTCGTGAGCTTCCAGACGAGCTTCGTGGTGGGCCTCCTGATGGTCGTGAGCTTCCAGACGGTCGTGAACTTCCAGGTGGTCGTGCGCTTCTTGGAGACATGGTTCTTCCTGATCGGCGTGCGGGTCCCCCCTGATATTAGTGTCGATCATGTCGACGGTCTGGCTGCAGTTGTTGCCAGCTGTGCTTTTCATTTATGAGATACTTCGTTCTCTTCGCCGTCCGCCTGGTGGGCTTGGTACGTCTCTTCGGTCACGGCGGCGACCTCCGCCTATTTGCGTTGATTTGCCATATTGCGATGACGATTCGCTATACGTGGTCTCTCGAGGCTCTCGTATTCATGCTGTTGAGTACTGGCAATGTCGTGCGCCTCCAGGGCGCCGTCGTGTTGATTTTCACGACTTCGGCCCCGATCTAGAGCTTCTTGAGGAGTTTTCGGACCACCCGCGTTGTATGTGGCAGGAAGTTGAGGACGCCAGCCCGCTCGAACAGTACTGGAGTACCTCTGAACAGCGTGGCCGTGCCGAGTGGTTTCGTCTGCAGCATAAGGAAACCCACCAGTACCAGAGGCCTTGGGCGAGAAGTACAATCATCCTCGTCATCGTCATCGTCAGCACCCTCTTCATCATCATCATCATCATCACCAACATTCGCATATTCTTTTCTTCATCATCATCACCGCCATCATCACCATCACCATTACCATCGCCATCACCATCACCATGACCGTCACCATCACCGTCATCATCGCCATCACTATCACTACCCTGCGGCCTTTTCCAGCTCGAGGCTCCGCGGGGGGCGAAGCATGTCTTGAGGCGTTCAGTGCTTTGCAGCGTGGCCGCGAGCAGCAGCGCAGGCGTGGCGCGCGGGCACCCCGCTGGCGGCGCCCGCAGCGCAAGATGATCCCAGTGGGGCAGGTTCAGGGGCAACTTTGGGGCAGGATAGGCTTAGGGGGGGACGCATCGACCCCCAATCGCCCACTTATCGCCGAAAGGGGCCCGATAGCCCCAACCTGCCCAGGAGCGTGCGAATTCGCTGTCGGGGGTCTGCCGCCAATTCATCGGCGATGCATCGCCGATTCAGGCTTGATGTTTCCCCCCCTGAGCTGCCCCCGCCCCCTATCGTTGCCCTCTAGAGGTGGACGCGCAATTCAATATCAAGCCGCAGGGCCTCGAGGTATGCTTCGACCCGGCGAGCCAGCAGCAGGTGCTGTCGTTCCAGTTCGCCCTGACGGTGCTGAGCGGGGGCGCGCGGAACGGCAGCGGGGCGACGGGGGGCCTTCTTGGAAGCACCCCCCCGTCCAGGCCTTCCGGAAACCGTCCTGCCGGCCCCTTGAAGCGCCCGATTGTTTCCGGAAGTTCCCGATGGCTTCCGGAAAGTGTTTCTTATCTGTGCATACTTATTGGGAGCTTTCGGCGGTCTTCGAGACCCGGGCTGGCTCTCATCAGTTGCGCCTTGGCGAGGGTTTCGAGGGATGCCAGAATCTTCCCGGACAGTCGCTGGAGACCCGACTTCTGATCCCCCAAACCAGACCGGCGACATGTAAGAATGATCTTTCGCTAGTGTGACCTCTGGGGCGCGATTCTCTGGGGGCGCGAGGGGAAGCCCAGGCACACGGGCCCCTGCTGTAGCGTCGCGTGCAGCGATCGGTGAACTGCGCACGACTAAGGTCTGGTCGCCCGAAATGGGTACGGAATGAATGGGTACAATGCCCAACAGCAGTTCGTGTTCATTTTGAACAGGACTTGCTGTCCGCGCCGCCGCGGCCTGTGTCCATTCGAGACAGAAGGCCGCCTGCCCAACAGCGGCCGCCGTTGGGTTGGGACAATTTTTGTTGTTGGGGCATCGTACCCATTCTTTCCATACCCATTTCGGGCGTCCAAATAAGGGGGGCGCACGCTCTTGAGTGCAGCCGAAGAGTTGGTTCACCTTGCCTTTGAGAGGCCCTTTCGGAAGTTTCCAAGGAGGGCCGACCCCTTCTGAGAGCCCCCAACCTTCAGAGAAGGCTCGCTCTGGGCCCCCCCGAAGATAGGACAACATGCAACCATTTGGTACGGATTTCAACCATTCGAGACTAGTCCCAATTGTTTTAAGTATACCAATCCCGGCTGCCTTGAAAGGCCCTTGAGAGATCCTTAGATATAGATCCTGGGAGGGTCTCTGAGAGATCAGTAGAGGATCTCTGAAGGATCTTCAGATAACCTCTGAAGGATCCTTATCGGGTCTCTGAAGGATCCTTGCAGGGTCCCTGACGGAAGTTTTTAAGAGATCCCGAGGGATCCTCAGATCGGTCTTTGGAGATTCAGAGAGAGAGAGAGAGAGAGAGAGAGAGAGACAGAGAAGGAGAGAAAGAGAGAGCCCTAGGGATCCTCACATAGACCCAGAGATCCTCAGAGGAATCCCTAGATATCCTTAGAGAGACCCGTTGGGATCCTCCCAGACATCCCTCGTGATATTTCGAGGATCCTTCAAGGATCTTCAGACAAACTCCTAGAGATCCTTAAAAGGGTTTCAGAAGGATCCTCAGAGATATCCCTAGAGATCCTCAGGGACTGTGAAGGATCCCTAGATATTCTCGGAGGACCTCTGAAGGATTCTGAGGGGGATGCCTTGAGATCCTTATAGTATCTCTGAAGGGTCAAAAGAGGGATCCCTAGGGATCCTTAGATCCTTAGAGATCCTTAGAGGATGCTTGAAGGATTAGAGAATAGGAGCCCTGAAGGATTTGAGGATCTTTTAATGATCCTTACAGGGAACCCAAAAGACCCTTAGTAGATCCCGGCGCCCATACAAGCTTCGTGTGAAGATTGCGGACGTTTCCGGTGGAAGTTGTATTCGAACGCATGAGCATTTTACATTTCTCATGAGACCACTACTTGTCATTTATACAGCCTTCGGCTGGCATCTATGTACCTCGTGCGTGAATATCTTTGTATACATATATATATATATACACATAGATTCCCTGGAGAGCCATGCGATTCTCAAATGAGCATTCGGCAGTTTTCATGCGAAACCCATACAGGCCCCGTGCGGAATCTATTCCACATCTGATTTGACCACTCGCCAATGCCTATAGCTGCAGAGTGTTCTTCCATGCAACAATCTGTGCGACGCCCATCTGGCAACAACACAACCTTCATTTGGCGTACGCATTTGCTCTTTCCATCAGAAGGCTATACTTTCCGCACATGACAAACGCACAATTCCCACCTGAAGGCAGGACAGACCCCGTATGGAAGCTATACCACTTTCGTATGCCATCATTCCATTCATCATATGCAAGCAATCGAATTCCAATGCGACCATCCTGCGTCACCAATACGGGAGCTGCACAACTCCCACATCAAGCCGACACTGCCATGGAAAGACACTTCATCATACCTTTGTGTAAAATCTGTACGTGTCTCTGATGAGAAGTATGCGCTTCTGCTTTCATGATATACTGTTGGCTCAGGGATCCTGTCACATCGCGAATGGCAATTGTACAGTTGGCATCGTACCGCAACCTGGGGCGGTTCTTATATGACATACTGACGACTACTTGTTTCACATTCAGAATTACACATATTCCCCGTAAGGACATCGTGCACTTTTCACATGCGTGTGTGCAAATATCGGGTGACAATACACGGGGCTCACACCAATGCGATGCAGTTCTTTTCATGCAACTACACAGCCTGGCGCAGCTCTCAATTGAACGTTGCACAGTGCTCGAATCCCCCCAAGCGGTCTTTGCACTTAAGGGTTCTTGCTCCGCTTCGTCAAGGCAATTGGTTGGTATTCAGGTTTTTTCACCACTTTGGTGCCCGTGCAGCCTCGTGGAGGCCTCGTGGGCGCCCCCCGCTTGGCGGGTATGCCGAGGTTGCGCCACGTTGCCGCCCGTGCCGCCTCGTGGACATCCCGTGCGTTTGGAGGGGTATGCCGGGGTTGCGACGCGTTGCCGCCCGTGCCGCCTCGTGGGCGCCCGCTGGGCGCCTCGCGCTTGGGGAGTTTGCCGAGGTTGCGCCACGTTGGCCACGTTGCCGCCTAGGCCGCCTCGTGGGCGCCCCGTGGGCGCCCCGTTTGTTGGGGTGTGTGTGTGTGTGCCGAGGTTGCACCACGTTGCCGCCCGTGACGCTTCGTGGGTGCTCCGTGCTCTGAGCTTGCGCGGCGTAACTTTTGTCTCACAGGTTACATCACGTAGTCTACCCCGCATAGATTGCACACCATAGCTTGCATTCCACAGTTTACACCCCGTAGCGTTCACGTGCAGTTTCCACCGCCTAGCTTACACGACACAGCTTACACCACATAGATTCTCGTTTATAAAAACAGAATAGACTCTACCCCCCCCGGCGTTATCGGCCTCCCTTTCGGGTATGTAAATCATTAATGATTTTGACCACATGTCCATCCTAAATGTGAATTTACACTATCCCAGGGGAACCGGTATCGCTCCCCCTGAGGTTCCCTTTTAAAAAAGAAAACAATACGCGGGGACATTTTTTGTTCTAGCATAAGACTTTCAGCGAATCCCTTCAACAAATGGGACGAAGTGCGCGCGCGCGCGTCGTCGCGCGCGCATGCCGAAATCCTTCAAAAACCTTCGGTGTCGGAAGGATTTCGCAATCGAGTTCCCAAAACAACATACAAAAACACAGGGTTTCGCAACACCAATTTGCTAAAAAAGCTTACGCGCGAGCTCTTGGGAAACCTTAAGAAAACCAGATATTATTCAATAATTTCACAAAGTGCTACCAAACGGGCTTCGCGCGCGCGCATGTCGAAATCAGTCGAACGCCCTTGCGCGTGTGCCGTCGCGAGAATCCTTTGCAAAACATGGGACGAAGTGCAGACGCGCGCGTATGCCTAAATCCTTCCAAACCCATCGGTTTCGGAAGGATCTCAAAATCGTGTGTCCAAAAAACCTACAAAAACACAAGGTTTCGCAACACGGATTTTCAACAAAAGCGTGCGCGCGCGCTCTTGCGTCGTCGTCGTCGTCGTCGTCGTCGTCGTCGCCGTCCTCCCTCCGTCGTCGTCGTCGTCGGCGTCGTTGTTCTCTGTCTTTCCTCGTCGTCGTCGTCGTCTTGGCGTCGTCGTCGTTTCCGTCGTCGTTGTCGCCGTGGTCGTTTTTTCCTCTTCCCTCGACGTCGTCGTCCGTCGTCGGCGTCTCGTCGTCGACCCTCCTATTTCGTCGCCGTCGTCGTCGTCGTCGTCGTCGTCGTCTTCCCTCCTCCCTCGTCGTTGTCGTCGTCGGCGTCGCCGTCCTCCCTCCTTCTTCGTCGTTCGCGTCGTCGCCGTCCTTTCTCCTCCCTCGTCGTTGTCGTCGTTGTCGCCGTCGTCGTCCTCCCTCCTCCATCGTTGTCGTCGTCGTCGTCGTCGTCTTCGTTGGCGGCGTCGTTGTCGTCGTCGTCGTCGTCGTCGTCGTCGTTGTTGTCTTCGTCGTCGTCGACGTCGGCGTCGTCGTCGTCGGCGTCGTCGTCGTCGTCGGCGTTGTCATCGTCGTCGTCGTCGTCGGCGTCGTCGTCGTCGTCGGTGTCGTCGTCGTCGCTGTCATCGTCGAAGTCGTTGGAGACGTCGTCGGTGTCGTCGTAGTCGGTGTCGGCGGCGCCGTCGTCGTCGTTGTCGCTGTCGTCGTCGGTGTCGGTGTCGTGGCCAAGTGCCATGTGGTACCTACCGTCACGGTCTTGTCTGAAGGAGGTCTTGCGACCGAGTTGCGGGTGGGAGGGTGGGACGTTTGCACGAGCAGTGGAGAGGACAGCTTCAAGACGGTCAAAGTGGGTTGCACTCCATAGTTCTCACCGCATCAGCTCGCACCACGTAGCTTTCACCACGCAGCTTGCACCGCATAGCTTTCGCCTCGACAGTGCAACGACGCAATGCTTGGGGTCCACGCTGGCTAACATGGCATTGTGAGTTCCCTGGTGAAAATATGCAGCTCCCACATGCAAATATTCAGCCTTCCTATCAATGCTGCATCTAATGGCCTTCGGCCCATCCTGCCAGCGTGCCTGGGTTGTGGGTCTGACTTCTCAGGGATGCTTTTTGGGGTCTCTTCGGAGGGCTCTCTGTGGCCTCGGGGGGCAGTGTCAAGGCCTCTTGGGGGCCTCCTGGGGGCCTCTCGGGGGCCTCTTGGGGCTTCTTGGTTGCCTCTTGGGGGGCCTGAGGGGGCCTCTTGGGGGCCTCTTGGGGCCTCGTGGGTTCTTGGGACCGAAGGCTCGAAATGTCCGTTCGCGTCGATCGTCTGG